GGTCTGCCGCAGGCAGTTAGCAGGCGAAACCCTTCCCCAGCGATGCTGCGGCTTCCCCCAGCAGCCAGGGGAGCGAGTTGGAAGGCAGAAAGGTCACCCTGAGCCTCGGCCGCCTTGCCCCGTGAGCAGGCTTTCCTCCCGTTAACCCCGTGGCTCGTTTTGCTCCTGGCAGTGCTGCACGGGCAGGTGTACCGGTTTTGCACCCCAGAGGGGACGTGGCTGCTGAAGGAGAATTCAACCCTGCCCTGGAGGAACCTGTCCGAGTGTGAGGCCTCTGACCAGGTAAGAGTTTCTGTCTCTTGCTGCTGTTGTTTGGGACAAAACAGAAGAGAGGAAAAATAGAGTGGTTGATGCCCACGTGTTTTTGTCCTGTCAAAGTAATCTTTACCAGCTCGTCCTGGGTGCCTCAGTTCAGTGAGCCTGATGGTAAGGGACGTCAGGCCTCTTCCCTTCAACAAAGGGAAGGTGGAGGGTGGACGAGAGCGGGTTTAAACGTCCATGAGAGTGCCAAAAAAAGTGAACCAGGGTGTCCCAGCTGTGGTGCATTGCAGGGGGCTCAGCTGCAGCCCACCCGAACCAGAGGAGTGACCTGAAGTTATTCCTTTGCCTTTTCTTCCATTGGCACATCATTACAATAAAGCGACCGCTTGTTCTCTCTGTCTTATTAGCGGCTATTAAGGTGATTAAGATGAACTGAACTGAAGGATATTTGCTTTTCACCTTTGGGCAGGGGGCAGTCCTTGCTTTTTATTTGTTTGGTGGGTTTTTTTGTCTTTTTGCCTTCATTTGCTGTGGGCGATGGAATTAGGCTTGTCAGTGTTATTTTCTTGCCCTAGTGCTTTACGCTCTGCAGGGAGCTGAGGTACCTGGCACCAAATGAAGGGGAGTATAGGGATTTCCAGGGGATTTTTGTCAGCTGTTGGCGTCAACTAGCACACTGCGTGCGTTCCCATGACACGTGATACCGTGACTGCTGTGAGCCTCCAAGGGCGATGCTTTTCCTCACGTAAATTGACTGCACTCCTCTGTCCCAGGGTGCTGGGAACTAGTACGTACTTAGCCAAACCAGTTTAAGTATATGAAATTCCTAAGTGTTGCGGGATCTGTGTCCTCTGGAGTTCCCGTTGCTCAGTGCCTTGTTCTTCAGAAAGGATAAATGGCTGCAGACTAGGAGGACATGGAAAAGAGATAGTTTCTAATTCTCCAAATATGTTAAATTTAATTTTTTTTGCTTTCATTTGCAGCCTTGTTCTTTGTCCCTTCCATGTTCTGGGGTATCCCAGCAGAGTGTGTTATCTGAATGCAACGTGTAAGCCTGGTCATTTGACTTTTCCTTGTTTGCCATTACGGTTTCTTCCAGAGCTGTGTTGGGACGTACCAAGGAGAGAGATACCTAATGATAACACGTGGCCATTTGGCACCTGCCTCCCAGTTTCCATGAACTGATCTGGATTCTGAAACCCTGAGTACATGGTGGTCACTCCCTGAAATGTGAACAGCCATGTCTGGTTTACCAGCTAATGTATATAGAGCCCCCTCATAACCTACTTTGTTTTATGCGTCCTGTACATGAGAACAAGAGGTTGTTTGGACAAGTTTGCTGTGTATGATGTTACAAAACAAAACAAAATCCAAAGGGTTTGTGAGTGAATCCTTCTAAAATAACATTGTTTACTTTAAGGGTGTGATGTGGTTTTGATCAGTGTAGATGCTTTAAATTGTCAGGTTTCAATAGTTTGCCTGAGCTTTGATACTGAAGAGATTTTTTTCTTTTCTCTTCATAAATCAGCTCTCATAATTCCCTTTAAAACATTAACCTAGCAAATCACTGAGGAACAGCCTGTATGTTCACCTTAAATCCTACTGGCTTGCTGAACAGTGAATAGCTGTGCTTATTTCTGAAGTACGACGAGCGTATTCCGTTGTACCGCACAGGTCTCGGAGTCAATTGCAGAATTAGCAGCTTGAAGAAGGGAAGTAAAAAGCCTGAGTCTATTTAGACAAAGATACGTGCTTAGAAATGAACCAGAACAGAAAATATGAATGTGCCTCAGAGGCTGAGCAGTAAGCCTGTGTTATAATTCAGACCTGTAGCTTTTCAAATGCTTCTCCCTAAAGATTTTGGTCAGCACTTTCAAGGGTCTCAGTTATCGTGTTTTCAGCAGTGAGTCTGAAGAGAGCATCAGCCCAGGACTGTCAGGGGGGTGCGAGCATCCCCCCTGCTCCGGCCAGTGTCGGGTCGTTCCCTCCCAGGCAGTGCTGTAACAGCCAGGTCAGGAGGTGGCTTTGGGCTGTGGGTCGTTACCAGGAGGTTGCATGGTTGAGGCAGAAGAGGGAATATTTGGGGGCAGAAAAGGGTTTAGTTTTACAAATGCAAGGCATGCTTTGCCTCGGAGTCAGCGAATGGGACCTGGCTTGTTTTATTTCGAAGTATAGCTGTAGCCAGAGGAGCCCACTTCTTAAAGGAGGCTTGCTTTAAGGGTTTGAGTCTGAAAACATCAGCTTTGCCATTTTTACTGCAGGGTTGAGTTGTGTCTGTGCTTCCTGCCATCTGTTTAAGACTTGCTTGTGTGGTAATTCATGCCTCTCCGACTGTATTATGAAATAATGTCGCATTATCTATTTTCTAGCCTGGCTGCAAAACCCAAATGTTTGAGCGAACACCTGGGAGCAGCTGGGGAATTAAGATTAAATTTTTATTTCTTTAGAGCATACGGAATGTGGAAGACCGATTTGATATGTGCATTAAAACTTGAAAGTAGGAGAATGACTTCTGTTTATCATTAAGAAAAGTTAGAAGGCAGCTGGGAGAAGAGAACTGAAGCCCATGAGCTCTGTCTTTTCCCCCCTGCCTTTTTTTTTCCCCTTTTCTCCTTTGTATGCTCTCAGGATGCACCAGAGGAACAGCTCCTGAATTTGTCCATCATATACACCATTGGATACGCTCTTTCCTTCTCTGCCCTTGTAATAGCAACTGCCATTCTTCTTGGATTCAGGTAACTGGTGAAGCTCTGAAGAGAGTGGAGAAAAGGTGCTATGTTTTTCTATATGATAGTATCACACTTTGACGAAAACATTTGATTAATTTTTTTCCTTTTCTTCCATCACCTCATTATTTCTCTATCTTATGTCACCTCTGTGTTCCTTCCTACAATCATTTCTTCTCAAATTGCAAGTAAAGTTCCTAAATTTTTGCAGTGGTACCTCTGTGAATGTGTGGAACAGATGCTTTATATCGGTTGAAATATTTCATTGTGAGATTTTTTTGTTTCAATGAAATTTCTACTGGAAGAGTTGGAAAATGAGAGAGATACCAGCATTCCCCTCGTGCTGTTGCCTTTCAGATGAGGCACTAGCCTGGGGTGTGAGAGGACATTTAGGACAGTTGCTTTCATCTTGCCTTGCTTGAAATTACACAGAGCATAAAGCTCAGTCTGGCCTATTTCCCAGCCCTCATATGCAGGGTGTGTTTCAATGCAGAAAAGGATTTTTGACACAATTTATCTTTTTGGAGAACTTTCAGAAATTCTTTTTTTTTTTTTACAATATAGAGGAGAACCTCATTTTGAAACCTGAAAAGTTTCTGTGACACAATTTGCTGTCCCTTGCTTAGATTGGTGTATTGGGCTCATGCAGGTATGCACCAACAGATTGCACGGAGTGCATCAAATTTGAGACTACTGGTTACACGGGTCAATGATTGACTGTGTAGGTTTGGTTAAAAAAAAACACCTCCCCAAAAAACAACCCCCAAACAACTCTGGACTGCAACAGTGCTGTGTGGTTTGGGGGTTTTTTATTTGCTTGTTTTGGGTTTTGGTGGGGTTTTTCCCCCCCTCAAGTGGTGTCTTGATTCCAGCTGGACTTTACTGCAGTTTGGGGATGTTGAGTACAGGAGACTGATGTTTAGAAAGCACAAAGATGTGATCCTGCTCTGTTGTGGGAAGGAAGTCCCTCTGCCATGAAGTCCTGCTCCCTGCTGCTGTATACAGCCAGGTCCCATCATCTCTCTTACATGCTGATCAGCCTGCCTCCTAAAAAAGTATAGTCTGCTGGTACTCTTATTTGAAACCAGGTCAGGAAGCTTCAGTGCTCTGATCCTTAAGAGAATTTTCTTTCCTGACTAAAGAATTATCATTGCCAGTTAATGATCATTTGCTCTGGAGCCAGCTCTCTCTGTTAGCAAGGCAGCCCCTCTTCTTTCCTCCCTCCTAAGTGTTTATACCCCTTACATATTTAAAAAGATCAGTGGTGCCTTTTGGCTTCTAATTTCCAAAACTAAAACGATGCAAGCTTTCTAATATTGTCCCACACCTTTTAGCGCTGTATTATTCCTTCTCCTTCCAGTGGAGAAGCATAGGGTAGCAATCTCCAAGATCTAAAATGACTACAGAAATGCAGAGACGTGCTCACCCTCTGTGAACGGCACAGGATGATTATGATTTGTACGTGTTGTACTTGTGCAACTTTGGGACTCATCTGACAGAACACCAGATGGTCTTGAAGTCTCCGAATGTCTCCCAGGATAAGTGCTTTCTCCTTGTTTCACCCATCAATGACACTTTGAGTAATCTTGGTAGTCCGAATGTAGAGGTCACAGCACAGCCATACACTTTTGGAAGGAAGGATGCAACGTGGCTTTTGGCAGGGAACAAAGAGCAAGTTTGTCACTACGGACCGGTAGGCGACAGATAATTTTGATGCCCTGAGTTTTGTGGAGAGATGCTTTAGCGTATTTTCCATTGACTATAAAGCAGAGTCTGGAGAAACGTACACAAGGGTGTGCTGCTGATTTTTTGAAAATGAGGTTTCAGAGTTGTTAAATAGGCTGAGAGCCTTGTTAAAACTATGCCATCAGTCCATTGCGTGCTTTCTTGTCTGGATTGACTATCTGGAGATTGGTCCTGGATCTCATGAAATACATGGGACCTGCCCCTACGTGGATTGCAGTTGCTGGATTCTAACTGGAACATCTCGTCATGGCCAATCCCCAGTAGCTGTGCAACCTCAACAAATGGGGATTGAAGTCTAATGCAGTGGCACCAAAATGTTTACGTTCGTTTTTGTAATAGGAAGGCCTTTTTAAGGTCTTAGACTGCAGAATAACCTTTATATTTGTTTTTTAATAATGATACAACATAGGAAACAATGTATCTCAAGTGTGCCCTTTTGCATCCTCTGAAAGGAATGGAAGGAAGTCCGTAATTTCAGTGATGGAAGCTGAATTAGGCTCATAACTTCATGACTGAAACAATTTGAATAACTTGCATTGCCCGTAGCAGAAATACTCAGTAACTACTTGCAACCTATTTTCCTCAATTGGCTAATTTACATAATTTTTTCAATCCCATTTAAGTGCGTAGCAGTTCTGAAGGGTAGCAACAAATAAATTTTGAGTTAAAGGAAAAGAAATATTACTAGTAGATAAACTTTGAAATAAGCTGTTACTTAAGTGACGCAAAAAATTCTATTTGACCTATGAAAGAAAGTTCTCCTTCCTCTTCAGTGCAAAACCGATAACTTTCAGACCAAGTCTATTTTTCTACCCAATTTTATAGAGCAGTAAAAATAGATACTTAAAGCATGAGTTCTCTGAAACTCTTGCTGGAACACTTGCTGTTTATCGTGTGTTACCTGTGTCTTTTAGGATCAAAAAAGACTCACACTCAGTGTAACTTCCTTTGAAGCAAAATGCGTACCCTTGCTGTTCTGGAAGAAAAATGTTTGTGGATAAGGCTGGTTAAACATTGGCAGCACTTCGCAGTTCGATGCCATTTACATGACTGCAGTTTCCCTTAACATGCCTTTTTTTTGACACGTAGCAATTTTACTGTCTTTGCAGCTGGCTGCTGAAATCCAAGAGGATTTTTTCTTTGCCTTTTTATTGTTTTCAATTCTGAAGGCAGAGCTGAGAATTCTGTTCCTTTTAGTTCTCCAGAAAGTACTTAGAATTCCCCCAGGAGGCAATCTGGTTTTTGTCTTGTTGTCAAAACGGTAATTTACAGGTGGATGTTTTTTCGTTGTGGGTTTGAGCACAGCCAGGAGCTGTACTGCACACCAGTTCCTGAGCCTTGCCAAGGAAAACCTGTGCAGTGATACTGGGGTCAGTTCAAAGAGATTAGATTCAGTGTTATGTGAAACTTGACTTTTTTTAGTCCTTTCAGAGATGTCTTCTGAAAATGACTTTATTTTTACACTTTTTAAACTCTTAAAATACTTTTTTCCTTAAGCACTGATCTGCTTCCATCCCCCAAGCATTCATGCTTAGGGCTGAGGTTTTGAATGTCTGTCTTGATAGTGATTTCTCCCCCAAATACAGTTTGAAATCCCTTCAGCCATTCTCAAGTTATGGGATTTCCTCTGGTACCTCCTGCTTTCCAACAGGGGTCATTCTTCCTTCCCTCAGTCCTGTGTGTGATGTTGCAGCTTTTACATAGGCAGTGGATCACAACTGGTTCTTTCTTTTTACAGGCATCTGCATTGCACAAGGAATTATATTCACCTGAACCTCTTCACCTCTTTTATCCTCCGGGCTATATCCGTCTTCATTAAAGACTCTGTGGTGAAGTGGATGTACAGCACAGCCACCCAAGAGCACCAGTGGGAAGGACTTATCTCCTTCCAGGTAGGTGCAGACACTGTGGTGGGTCTCAGGGTATTGGAGTTGTCGCTGTGGTGTGTCTGCATGACAGCAGGCGACTTCGTTCTGTGCAACGAGGGCTGCGCAAAGGGCTGTTCTTCAGTCCACGGGGTTTCTCTGAAACTTGTAGCACGATGTATGCAGTTGTGGTTGGGCCACCCCGGGCTTGGGACAGGGATGTAGTTGATGCTGTGCTGTGTTTCTCTGCCTGTGGGAAGTTTGCCCCTACTAGACAGAGGAAACATGAAGAGATAGTGGTTTTATACATATATATACACACACACAAATGCCCATGTCGTCTTCCCATGCTGCAGGTTCATTTCTTCTAGCAGTGACAAGAGGGCATTCGTTTCCCTAAGGCAACACCTTTTGTGACAGGACTGTCCGTCTTGTATAATGACCAAATTAGTTGGTCATTCTTGGAGGTCTTTGTCATCTGTTGATGACTGAGAAAAGAGAAGCATCTAATTAAAATGCAAGTTTGAAAGTGTTCAGAAAACTTTTTGGAGGAACAGGCTAGTTAAATACTCCTAGTTGAAGGGAGAGGGTATACTGCTCTTTTGTGAATATGACGAAAGCATGCCTTTCCCCCTTCAGGTTTGGAATACAAAATCCTAGAATCATTGGGTTGGAATAGACCTCTAAGATCATCAAGTCCAACCATAAATGTACTTGAATCTTCAAGAAGGGGTCTTTCATTATCTGTATAGGTCTTGTGATTCAAGAATATGGGTACAGTGTTTGCTGCTGCAATACAGGGTTCGGGCCACGAAAGGATATGTCTTCTAATGCCTGTCCTTTTCTGACACTCCCTAAGGCTTAAGTGCTAATACCACATAGTGAATCTCATATGATGGTTCATTTCTTCTCATCTGCAGTGTATCAATTGGCAGGAAATAACGTTGTAATGCATAGCTTCTGTGATTTGGAAATGTTCGTGTTGAAACATTCCCTCCTTCCAAAAAAACCTAGGCTTTATGCTTTCACACGTGGTTTATCCAATAGTGGTTTCATCAGATCTGATGGATATATTAATTAGGTAATCAGGTTTCATACTTACCTAAAGCCCTGCTGACTGCTTCTCTGTAATTTACCATCCAGGAGAGATTTTGCACTTAAATGTCATGTGCTGGGCAATATTGCTGTTCTATCAAAAAATCTTTTGTTCAGGAAAATAGTCAACATTATGACATCTGCTATTTACTCTTCAATAGAGAAATTCTCAGCTGCAGAACAGGCTATGGGGGGAAGTGAAAAGATTCACAGTCTGCAGTTGATACAGTACCTTTCACTTGCTCTTCATCTTTGTGTTGTGCTTTTCAAATTATAATCCATTGTTTATTGAGGGAAAATGCAGAACACATAATGTTGAATTCTTTTTCTAAGGGAGGAATGTTGAATTCTTTTTCTAAAGGAGGAATGTTGTTGGAAGCATCTACTTCGTATAACACCTGTAACTGGCTTACTGTCCCTTCAGTACTTCAATGTGATTAATTTACCGTACTTAAATATGATTAATTTAGCAAGCATTGTTTTGAGGAGCAAGAGTAGAAGAGAGAACCTGTCTTTTGGGTTAGTATCCTTTTATTCTCAGCCCCTGCTGCATTCGTTTTGGGCTGTGCTTTCTTCTGTCTCAGGAATCACTCAGCTGCCGCTTGGTCTTCGTGATGATGCAGTATTGTGTGGCTGCAAACTACTACTGGCTGCTGGTGGAAGGCATGTACCTGTACACGCTGCTGGTACTTTCAGTCTTTTCCGAGCAGAGGATTTTTCGGCTTTATCTCTGCATTGGCTGGGGTAAGTTGATCTTTCCGTGTGTCCGCCTGTGGCTGTGTGCACTGGTATGATAGCAAAGAGCAGCGTGTGTCTATCATAGTGCTTCCCAGTTCAAGCCCTGCACTTCCCATTCCCTTTTTGTTCCTGATCCCTTACCTTGTTTAAAGCTGGAGGGTGCTGGGCCAGCACAGCTCCTGGGTACTCGTGGCATAGAGGCTGTGGGTTCGTAACGCAGGGGCTGTGCGACATCGCAGGAACTCCTCAAACCAGCGGCGGGCACGTGGTGCTTTTCCTGCAAGACATCTAGAGCTTTCCGCTAGAAAACACGTGTGGGTGATTCCAGGTGAGTGTGCACTTTCCCGAACTGTCCTGCTGCTTCTGAAAGTTTCCCGCTGCGTTCCAAGATGTGTTAGCTACCCGTGGTGCGAACCAGCAGCGATACCTTGCATCTGGTCGAGGATAACGGAGGAGAAATGGCGGCAGCGTGAGCTAGAGGGATGCGAAGGGGCGGCTGAACAAGGGGCTGCTAGCAGGGAGTTGCCGGGTTGGTTCTGTGGGCAGAGCAGGTCGAGAGCGGTCAGGGTGCACATGCCGTGAGCATCTGGGTGCTTTTGAGATTAAGGGCTGTGATGCCTTGAAATCAGTTGGTTGAGCCAGAAGTCGCCTTCTGTAGAATTGCTAAAGCCTTGCTTCTTTCACTGCCTGGCTAGCCTAAAAGGGTATGACAGTTCAGAACTAATCCTATTTTTGGGGTGATCTCTTGCGTGCTTTTATTGTGTTCTCTCCCTTCCTCTTCTCTGCTCTCCCGTTTTGGTGGAAATCAGGTGACTTTTGGAAAGCTGAAAGTAAATCCAAGTAAATACTGCAAATGCTCTCACAGATACTAATTTGAACCTTTAAATTGCTTTGACTGTCCTCCTCTCTCTATGGATTTGCTAACTGTGAATATTCTAGCAAATTAGTTCACTAGTAAAATGCATATAAATGGCTTACTGTGAATGACCCAATTCTACTGAACAGTGATATGTGAGGAGCAAAGGCTTTCTGGTGTATTGATGGGAGTAAATAAATGCAAGTAATAGCAGTTTCCTGCTAGAAAATTTTAGTTAAAAAGTTCTATATCTTCCATTATTGTTTTATATAGGGCGTGCAGCAAAAGCAACAGCATCTTGTATAACGCTTGAACTATGTATGTTTTAATCATATTTTATTAATAGCCATACACTCAATTGGGGAAAAAAAAGGGGGGGGGGGGGGGATGTGGGGAGATGGAGGAAGCTATCCTGAAGCACTGACTGAGGTCTTGAGAGGAAATTGAAAAGAAATTAAAGCAAAATTATATCTAGCTAAAGCCTGAGGGTATTATGTTGTTTTAGAAGTAAGGGATAGGATGGTTTTGCTCTGAATCACTTCTAGTTAGTTTTTTCCTTCTGCTTTTGCAAGAGACACCCAAAGATACTGGTTTGGTTTTGTTCTTCATTTACAATGGAAGTTTTGCTGCTGTATATTGAATTTCTGGATGAGTTTGTGAAAATGAGTAGCAATGCCAGAACTTGGCACTGGATATATGGGTTTCATCCCAGCTTCCTAGAAAAGCTCTGCCTGTGCCATTCAATCCTCATCTGTACAACTCCTTGCTATTCCAGCCACGGCTGCACATGCAAACCTTGACAGTGTTTCTCCATCTTCAAATGCAGAAGCAGCTATTCTTTCAGTGCTCCCAGATTACAGTTTTATCTCTAACAAGTAGAAACATATGAAGACTTTTTGACTCTTTCTTGCTGCCTCACTGATGACTCCTTTTTTTGGGTGCTCAGGTTCCTCACCAGGCGCCTTTCTGCTGTTTGCAAAGCTCAGAAGATTTTTATTTTTCTTTTTTTTGAGCAGCTTAATGCTGAGGCTTCAGTGAGACAGTAGGTTCCTGTTTGAGCTGAGAGAGTCCCGCTCTTTGAAATAGTTTATCAACTGTAAAAATAAAGCTGGATCAAAAAATAAATATTTGATTGTCAGAGCTTATTTGATGCCCTGACCCTTTGTTCTGTTAGTGAGCTGTCCTCTCACAGGGTAATTTTTTTAACTTTTTCATTACTCATCATTTGATGAATATTTATGTTTTAAACTTTCGTTTATGTATTGTTCAAAGACCTACTGGGTGTTAGTCATTTCATGTTGTTATTTCTTCTAATTAGAACTGAACTTTGTGATCGCTCACAGACTGTACAGTATTGTTGTTGCTGTCTGAATAGCTTCTGCAATCCCCCATGTGCTCACGTATGTTTGCACTTGCACTTCTCTCAAATGTACCCATGAATAAAACTGTATTCTCCTCAAGGTTTTTGTCTACCTGAGTGTTTGCACATACTCTTGGTCATAATGTTTGCCCTGTTGCACTTCTTTAAGGAACAAACAAGGAACTAGAGCAAATTATTTCCCCGGGTAATCTCAAGCAAAACTGTAGCGTAAGGGACAGCTTTCAAATAGGCAGAAATGTCCCAATACCTATTTCTCTCCAAGCTTTTAAACTGCTAT